ACAAAACTTCAATTTTTGTCATAGAAATGCATAAATCTGACTTTTGCAAGCCAAACACTTTGCCCCTTTTTTCTATTTAAAATTATTTATCAAAAATTTACGTCGTACAGGGTAGATTGATATACTTTTATGCTGGGACAGGCTCCGGGACCTGGTTTTTTTCGATATAGGGGCGGATTTTCAAAAACTACCCAAAAATTTTGACGAATTGTTTGTAAGGTCGACCAAATTGCTTGTCCAAGCTCTCCCAAAACTCTATAAAAGAATAAAAATAAGAACAAATCACATTTTTATACAAAGTGCACCAAAATTTACTAAGAGTTAAAATTATTGCGAGTCTTCAGATTGCGTGAGTCTTCAGATTGCGTGAGTCTTCAGATTTTGAAAGTGAGTCTTCAGATTGCGTGAGTCTTCAGATTTTGAAAGTGAGTCTTCAGATTGCGTGAGTCTTTTAAGACTGCACACATCGAACATCTTCTGGAATTTTGTTCCAAGCTGCAAGAAAAAAAAGTTTGTTGGATATATTTAGTTCTTCCTCGTACTAGTTCCGACAATCAAATAATTTAAAAGTTGGTATTACCATTTTTATAGCCCCCGCCGTTCTAATTTTTGGCCTTTTTGCCACGGGCAAGAGAGATGTCAACCACTCTCCGTTGCCGGTCTCACACTCAGAAGGCTGATTTCACTGGGAACCCTCCAACCGTGACCGAAGCGGGATTCGAACCCACGACCTTTGTATTAGAGCAAGCGCTTCTTACCCACTCAGCCATTTGGAATTACCTTAAGATTATGCCAACGTTATTTATATGCAGGGGCCGAGTAATTAATTTTAACGGGTAAACATAGCCAATCGATGATTGGAAAAATGAACGCAAAAAAAAACATTTAAAAAAGCAGAGACTTTCTTGAAAAAATCTCAACTTTCGAAGTTCAAAGAAAAAAATAGATGCCCTTTAAGCTCTTTGATTTTCTAGAACGATTTCTAAGTACCAATTTTCTGATAACATTAACCCAATTTGAGAAAACTGGATCCGCTGGAAATTTAAAAACTAGAGGCCAGCTAAAGCTGTAAATACCTGTTTGACAATTTTGAATTTTTTTCACATGATGCGTAACGCAAACTAAAAATTTCAAAAACTGGGCTTCACCCAAAACCTCAGTTGGTTCTCAAATATAATAATTAGTAGTGAAATTTTGGGTTCGATTTGGCAGAAAAGTCTAAAAAATTTCAAAAAAGGTCAAAAAATCGACTTTTCCGAGGGCCATAACTTTTTGTGCTAAAAAAAATTGGGCGTCCCCGCAACTTTTTTCTATCCGTTGAACCCACAATCCCAGATATGGGATGCTAGTTTTCGAGAAAACTCAAAAAGTTTCAAAAAAAGGTAAAAAAATCGTTTTTTTTATGAGGGCCATAACTTTTTATGCAAAAAATTGGGTGTAACCGCTTAGACAGGGGAGCTTCTAACGATCCGTCCTTTCGATTGAAATTAAAATCACTGATTTGGGAGGGTGGTTTTTGAAAAGTCAAAAAGTTTCAAAAAAAGTCAAAAAATCGCGAAAATTTGATTTTTCTGAGGGCCATAACTTTTTGTGTAAAAAAATTTGGGCGTATATGCTTATTCAGGAGAGCTTCTTACAACCTGCTCTATCTGTTGACCCCAAAATCTCAGATTTGGACGGGCAAAAAACCCAAAAATTTATGTCAAAAATTCCCCCCACACACTTTTTCGAAGGCTGTAGGAAGTGGGGTTAGCTAAAAAAAGAGACTAGGGAATTTTGCATACACATAGGGTAGTCGGCGGACTTCCCATTGGTACCACTTTTTGAACATCGATAGAGTAGTTTTTGAGATAAAAAACGAAATTTTTCCAAAGCGTCTCAAAAAAAAATAAAAATTCCCGATCCCAATGACATTTTCATAATACCTGTTTTTATCAAGCAGGAATTAAAATCGACTTTCGAAACTAGAAATCTTTCACGTTTTTTTTTGCGCTATTTCGACGTTTGTATTTGGTGAAAGCTATTTACGCCACTTTCAGCAGATGAATTTCAATTGAACTCAATAATAAGCATTTATATTTAAGTGCATTCATAAATGCAATATGTATGAATGCACATCTGTAAATATTAGAGACCTTTATGCACATTTTAAGACTTTTTCCTGAAAAAAAAAGTCAGCAACACCTATATAAGAGTCTTCACTACGTTCATTACTCTTAATAAATAAAGTACAAATTTCATGGAATTGAATTGAGCATGTCATATCACCATTTCCACCACGTCTCAAAGTCACCATTTTCTTACACATCTGTAAGAACAGTAATGTGCAGCCTTGCTCCGCCTCAGCGTCGCAATAATACTCTCGAAGAACTCCAGCAGGCAGGTTTATTTTCGTATCTGCGAAAATAAATTTGCGAATCTCTGAATGCATTACAAAAACTGATCGAACTAGACAGATCTTGTTAACTATTCCCCCACCCCTATGGTACCTTGTACGAATTGAACAGGTAAGCATATACGAGTTTTGTACCTTGTTAACTATTTCCGCCTTAACTCTTTTCATTGCACAAGCTGAGTTTGTATTATGGAGTATAACACACGCTAATCTTGCGTTATCGCAAATGGGCCATGTCGTGAAAAGGTGCTTCAATATGATATATCAACCTACGCGATAATGATTCGCGTGAGTAAATTAGCTTCAGTTGTCGGAACAATGTAAAACTGTTTTCTAAGCAGGCATTAAGGAAATCCCACTACTTTTTGGATCATTTTTTGGGATCTCTAACTATATCCCCCCTCCGGTTCCTGGTAATAACTATCTCCCTTATAAAGAAATAAATGAACCGTTAAGCATATCAGAATTTAATCTAGTAAAAAAATATCCCCCTTTTGCAAAAGGGGGATATAGTTAAGGAGATTTACTTTTTGATACAAAGCCTTTCAGCAGCTGTTTCTTTTCTTGATACAGCTTTCAGCAGCTGTTTCTTCGCTGTATCCGAGCAGCTGAATTTAAGCTTCTTTCAATACTAATGAAAACGATTAGCTTTAAGTAGTCAATTGATTGCTATCTGTATTGACTCAAAACAGTAGGACAATAACTGAACAGAAAAAGAACGAACAACCCATTTAACCCCAAAAGCAATCAATCAGTAAAAATCGAGCAAAATGAAAAGCCGGAAGATGATATATTTGGTTTAAAAGAAAATTTTTCCTGAATATCCGATTTGAAGACTCAAGTTATATGATATGGTATTAAAGTTACACTCTTATTTTGAGAAGCAAGTCTTCCGATATTTCGATATTGCTCGATAAAAGTATCAACTTTTACTGTCAACTAATAGCCCTAGCACCAAATCACACATCAAAAAATTGCCAACGAATGAAATATAAATAAAACAATATCAAATCAAAACTATACAAACTGTACATAACATGATGCATGATTTACAAGTTCACCGAATAGAATATTTTGGAAACAAAACAAAAAAAATACTCATACTTGATAAATACATTTGGTTCAATTATAACTAGCGCAAAACTAGAGCTCTCTTCAGAGTTCAAATAATGGTTTCAGCTGGCCTAAAAGGGTCTAGGATCACACGTAGACGGGACTACGAGCCGACGGAACTACAAGCAGGAGGGAACTACCTTTATTTTTCTTTTCGGTTTAATGTAGTCTTTCTGCGACTTTTACAAGAATTGGGTTTTTCTGTTATACAGGACAAAACTAATCTTTTTCAATATTTCCGATTAGTTGAAATTATTCCCAGTGAAAAGAAAATCTGGGTTTTTAATAAAAACAAACTCAATTAACAATTTGATAATTTTGGGATGGTTATTTTCGATTTTTGAAATGCGTTAACAATAAACTGAAAAAAGTGTTTAATGTGTTATTTTTGAGTAAGATTACATCCATTTTTATCTTAAAAACAAAAAAATAACGCGACCTACATATATAAAAAACCGACAATTTACTGTTTTGATGCCACCATCATTTTTTATGATTTTTTTAGTTTTCGTCTTCAAGTACCTACTTACTTCTACGATTCACGTTGAAGTCCGGTCGTCCTGATGTCCGGCACCAGGCCTAATTTTCACCAATTTCATCCATTTAAGGACCAGAAATAATACAATTAGAATTCAGAAAAACGGCTAATACAAAAACGAGAACTGCATTATCTTTAATGACCTTTCAACTACACATACTTTTCTTGGTTTTTTCAAAATAATAAATTTCTATTATAATTTAGACAATTCATAAATAAATCAAATAGCCCTATATTCAACATAGATTAACATTTGTTAGTATGAACAACAAGGATATGTATAAAAGCAAAGGATTCGGACATGAAAACACCAGGGCATGTAGAGAGGGATCGCTGATGACCAAAAATTTTAGCCTATCACAATTCAGTTAGGAAATCAGCAAGAAAATCAGATTTGCGCAGATAAAGAGAAATTGATTGGCTGAAAACCACCGGACATTTGGTCCCTCGGGCATAATAACAGCCCCAACTTGGAAGATGACAAAAATATTGATGAGAGCCCGATGGTGGACGAGACGACATTAGTAATAGCACAGATTAGATTGAATGTTATTTAAACTGAGTATATTTACAAGTCGGAATATTAATGGACAATTCAAGTAAGCGTTTACAACGACTAACTTTAATGTTGGTGAGTAAACAGGAGAACTCGTATAGCAAAGAACTCGTATAGCTATTTCAGAGGTGATGCCATCTAGCCGCCAAATGATGTAGAAAAGATTTCGATCTTCTCCGGTCAAATATGACAAACTAAAAACAAAACGCAAGTCTCCATTTCAATTAGCTTATTCGGAGGAAAAGTTTTTATATGAAAAGGAGACGGATTCTAATATTTTTCCGAAGGGGTTGGTCTCCATAATAGCCGAATTTTTTCAAGTCGACCATTGCTCACAAAAGGCGACATAAGATTACATCCATTTTTATCTTAAAAACAAAAAAATAACGCGACCTACATATATAAAAAACCGACAATTTACTGTTTTGATGCCACCATCATTTTTTATGATTTTTTTAGTTTTCGTCTTCAAGTACCTACTTACTTCTACGATTCACGTTGAAGTCCGGTCGTCCTGATGTCCGGCACCAGGCCTAATTTTCACCAATTTCATCCATTTAAGGACCAGAAATAATACAATTAGAATTCAGAAAAACGGCTAATACAAAAACGAGAACTGCATTATCTTTAATGACCTTTCAACTACACATACTTTTCTTGGTTTTTTCAAAATAATAAATTTCTATTATAATTTAGACAATTCATAAATAAATCAAATAGCCCTATATTCAACATAGATTAACATTTGTTAGTATGAACAACAAGGATATGTATAAAAGCAAAGGATTCGGACATGAAAACACCAGGGCATGTAGAGAGGGATCGCTGATGACCGAAAATTTTAGCCTATCACAATTCAGTTAGGAAATCAGCAAGAAAATCAGATTTGCGCAGATAAAGAGAAATTGATTGGCTGAAAACCACCGGACATTTGGTCCCTCGGGCATAATAACAGCCCCAACTTGGAAGATGACAAAAATATTGATGAGAGCCCGATGGTGGACGAGACGACATTAGTAATAGCACAGATTAGATTGAATGTTATTTAAACTGAGTATATTTACAAGTCGGAATATTAATGGACAATTCAAGTAAGCGTTTACAACGACTAACTTTAATGTTGGTGAGTAAACAGGAGAACTCGTATAGCAAAGAACTCGTATAGCTATTTCAGAGGTGATGCCATCTAGCCGCCAAATGATGTAGAAAAGATTTCGATCTTCTCCGGTCAAATATGACAAACTAAAAACAAAACGCAAGTCTCCATTTCAATTAGCTTATTCGGAGGAAAAGTTTTTATATGAAAAGGAGACGGATTCTAATATTTTTCCGAAGGGGTTGGTCTCCATAATAGCCGAATTTTTTCAAGTCGACCAATGCTCACAAAAGGCGACATAATTGCAATTGAGTTTTTAATAAATAAGTTTACATATCTTTTTTTCAAACATTGCTAAGTTAGACTGAAAACATTTTTCGGACCAGTTTTTCTCGACACATGTTTTTGCAATCCTAACAATAAATGAATACACCGAAGCGAAGCTGCGCTTCGCTAGCACAAACACGAAAACGGCAAAAAAGCCTTGAAAAAAGCTACTGCTGTGCCAGAAACAAACCACCGACCTCAAAGGTCCGAGCTGGGCGTTCTCGCATCTGCAGACAATAGCCATCATTAAAGCAGATCAAACAAATGATATTAAATTGTCAATACCATGCAGCAAAAGCGCGACCAAGTGAGCACTTCTATTTCCAAGTTGGGTTGGAAAAAGGAGTAGATTTCTATTATTACACTACGCTCGGTAACTAGCTCGTGTAGACAAAAAAAATGACTTGCCTGGCATGAACGTCTAGATTTCCGGTTTCCTGTTTCATTTGCTCTCTAGCGCCTATGGTTGAGTTCAAATACTGTAGTATCCTCGTCATCGCTGTCACTTTCCAGGTGATCCATCTCCATTCCATTCGTCAACACCCCGTACTTCCTACTCTTGCTTTTCTCCCGTTTCAGTCTGAAAAATCTCACTTTATTCAAGAAGGAAAAACAAATAGACAGAGGGTAATCTTTAATATTCTCTATTATCTTCACAATCTCGATAAAGGATACAGGATTTTTGAATCTGCATGAGAGCTAGTCACCTAGTATTTTATATAACCTAAGATGGTTACCACAATAACACATTTTGACCAAATTCAGAAAAAAAGATATTTCTCTTTTCTCAAACTAACCTCATTGTCTTCACGATAAAGTAGAGAACTACGAGCGATGTTAGTCCAATCAAAGCAAACATCGTTATTTGGACTGCGTTTTTATTATTGCTCAGTCTGTATCTCATATCCTGAATGCGATCTTTCCACGTAGTGCTCTCAGTTCCGTTCGTCTTTTTTTCTGAGCTTGGATCTTCATCATTAGTTAGACTTTTGTTTGCAGCCGCAGTAATATTCTTCATTTCGACCACGTTTTTGCCTTTGTCTGTTTTGACAGAAGTATCCTTAGAAGAGGTTGTATTTAGTGTGGTAATAGGCGCGACTGTACTTGTATCTTTCTATAAAAATATTCAATTTCCATTATTATTCATTAATACGTAAATTTTCTCAGTAATCTATATTTTTTTGATAGTTTCGACTTGAAGGTGTCAAGAATAACTCAATAATAAATCTATATTGCAAGCAAGGGTAAACAGCATACATACCTGGTCGTCATTTTTTGCTATCGCGTATGCTAAGGATATGAACAAAAGAGCAGCCATCAAAATCCATTTTTCCATTTTGTGATGCAACAGTTTTGAAGTTAGAATCTTCTTGTATCGAGTGCTGAAGAATTCGCGTCACTCAATTTTCATGAACGACCTTAAAATTTTACTCAAAATGAAAAAAAAATGATTACAAAATTAGAAGTGTGACATTCGACCAGAATGTGAAAAATGCAATCTCTGCAGAATTCGGAATTTTAGCAGTAAGCCTTCCGGATTGGTGGTTTTTAAGAACTAAGGGCGTTATTGGAACGTTTAGCCAAACGGTGAGGGCTGGAATATTCTAGTATTTTAAAATTTCAAAAATTCGAATGATGACGTCACATTTCTGAGAAATGCTGAAACGGCCATTTTAACAAAAAATGAGTGAGAAAACACAACAACATTAGTTGCGCTGACGAGAACAACTTTATCGAAATTGAAGAAGTCGGAATTGAAGAAAAACAGCAGCAGATTGCAGAGAACGTTCCGAGTTGCAACTATTGTGCTGCTACAATAGTTGCAAGGCCGTTGCGAACAACGGTGAAGGGTAAGAAACCAGCCTTCCGTGTTGTCGTGAAATCGAACTTAAGGAGCTTGATTCACCGGATTCAAGAATCCGGAAGGGTCTCGGGACGGAAAACTTTTATTGACTCATATGAACTTTTAGCATCCTGTCATGTCCTGACTTGAATTTAATTGATATTTGGATTAGTTTTGACAAGGATGAGGTGCTAAGAGTTGGGGGGGGGGGGGGGGGGGAGGGTTGATCCATCTTCGATGGAGATGATGATTTTTATCTACTGAACAAAAACAATAGTAATATAATAAGTAGTAGCCCTGTTTTTAGGAGTGACCTCGTGGTCTGGGGATACTGAGACCCAGCCATGAGCTCACTATTTTTGCATGTAATTCAGTTAATTTGAGCGTTCTGGTCGAAGCCGGAGAACAGTAACGTTTTTGTCGACCCGATGTTAGAAAAGACCACCGAAAAGTACTGGCTTGGTAGAGACGGTGAAAAACATGCAAAGCTCTGTTTAGACGCTAGCCAGTCGTCTTAAGACTTAGTTTTGTTATCCGTCGATATGTATCTTCCGGGCGAATGTTACATGTATGTTTTTATGGCGCTCCTGGGTGTTATTCTTTTATAACATCATGACCGGCGGAACCGTTAACGAGCACTCCGCGCCGAGCGGATGCTCACATTAACGCCCTTAATAGGCCTAAACCGCCGGGGCGGAAGGGTAGTTCGGAACGCGGAGGCCTTCCGGATTGCCGTGAATAGTTTTTTAACCTAGTTAAGACCGAAAATTCACGAACCAGGAAGGGTGGGGGGATCGGCCGTCTCCTCGTCCCCTGAGTGGTTGGTGACCAAAAACACTTAAAGATATAAGTAAAACCAAACAAAAATAGTATAGTACCCAAGAAAAACAAAAAATCTAAAAAATAACCGAAAAAACCAAAAACAGTAAAAAAGTAAAAAAAAATCAGTAGAAATCATCCCCCCAGACAAGATGTGATTCAACCCCCCCGTTTGTTGTTGATAGATATATTGTTGTTACAGGCATTTATATCAGTCAGGATCGTTACGATCAATTTTGTAGCCCGTTTGTGAGGCTTGTACTGTAGGGTTATTTGAGCATTTAAGCACGTTAATGATAAATTGCGCTCAATCCGGAAGGGTCAGCTGATTTGCGCTCAATTCGGAAGGGTCCTGGGTGAAGACCGATCCGGCAAGCAGTACAAGGAGCAACAAGAAGGGGCTCAACGACAACAACAATCGACTGTTGGGTATCGTTAACAAGTTTTGTATCCCTTTTGGTACAAAAAGTAAGATAGTAATCTGTCGGGGGCTCGACAGTGCTGCACTGTAGTGACCCTTCACCGAACTGCGAATATCCGAGTTAAGCACCTTAATTCGGATAATAAACAAACCCGGAGGGGTATAGTATTACTAATATTATTACTTATATAGCCTATTTTAATAGTCTTATATCGTTTTTCAGTGAAAAACAACGAAAACAGACCGGTTTTTAGGGTCAAAATAGCGATATTTTGATCCCCCCACAAGTCGCGATTTTTGAGACATCGATATTTTTTGAAACGGAAAAAAGCGCTAAGTTAGTGTGTTACATCGTAACTGCACTACTGTAATAGATAGAACCGGTTAACTTTAGTTCGGAAGTGGTTGGAACTAGTTTGGTACCAAAAACCAAATTTTCCCATTTTTTGATAGTAAGAAACACTATAAAATCAGAAAATTTTTTGAAATCTTTGAGTTAGGACAGTAAAAATAGTTGTTCGGACAACGTCCACTAGTGAATCTACGAGTTTTAAAACCCGCTACCCGAAAGCCTTCCGGGTTGCAGAGAAATCGAACATAACGTGTTTGATTTGGTGGATTCATCAATCCGGAGGGTTCCAGGTGGCATAGTTTTTCGCAAATTTTTTCTACAAAAGCGTTTTAGATCGGGTCTTTTGCATTGAACTTGAAGAGTATAGGCCTTCTGAGCTCGGTTAAATAATTTTTAGGTCGAAAGGGACAGAATTGCGGAAAAAGTTAGGTGGAACCTATAAGTGAGAAATTTTTTGAGTTTACAAAAAAGACGTTTTGGTTAATAACTTTGGAACTACAGGGCATATCGAGTTGATCTTGGTACCAATAGATCAGAGATTAGCTGAGCTTACTGACAGGATTGGGAAATTTCCCGGAGAAACGAGCGAGAAAATTTTTGAGATTGTTTTTAGCAAATTACACAAATCCGGAGGGGTACACCCTTCACGTTTTATAAATTTTTCTGAAAAACCCTTATACCCCTACCAAAAGTTGATAGCGATTGAACTAAGTAACTTAGGACAGTTCTAGACAAAAAGGGAGGGCTGAAGGCACAAGACAACCATAATAGAGTCGAAATTAGGCAAGTGATAAGACCCTTCACCGTTAGTGTGAATTGTCAAATAAGTGCCTTAACTTCAATCCAGAGGGGTCTAGGAAAGGACCCTATACCCTTCCCAGTTAATTCAAACAGCATAAAAGAATCGGAGAACGTATCCGGAGGGGTATAAGCTGAAATTAGGAAAACTAAGAAAAGCTACTTTGACAGAGCTAAGGGCTCCGAATCCGGAGGGGTCTACTTTCCACAAAACCGGAGGGGTCCGAATCCGGAGGGGTCTTATAGTTGCTAATTCGGAGGGGTCCAAATCCGGAGGGGTCTACTATTAACTAACTCGGAGGGGTCCCAATCCGGAGGGGTCTATATTCTGACAGTCCGGAAGGGTCCTATTTGTGCCAATCCGGAGGGGTATTATTTTATTAAGGACTTAGGTGAACGAAAGAAAGACTAAAAAGCGAGAGGTATTAGGTTATTAATACACAGGCTAGGTATCAGTGACTGCACTGGTAACTTGCCTTTCAAAAAGAACCAGACTAATACAAAACAGGTCCGAACTCGGATATTCGCGACACTAAGTCTAAATTAAAAAGAGCGTGACTCATTGGTGTGGATTGAAGCATAATACGTTTTTGGGAAAAGTGACTGCCCTGAGGATTTTAGTAGGTCTAGCTCGGGCAGTCCGAAGGCAGATAGGTAACACAGTACTCGGTGGGTGCAATAGACGCCCACTTGAGAAAATTACTGCCTTCAAAGTTTTGTCTGTTTGGTGCAGCACCAAGCAGGGAAAGCTTTTTCTTTAAAAGACAGGTTCGACTATTGTACTGCGACCGACTAAGAGTACAAGACACATACGTTTTTTTATATATACATTCATATTGTGTCAACATATATTTTTGTTTTTGATTTTAAATCAACGTAAACTGTGCTTGATTGGGTAGTGAATACACTATCTTTTAAATTGACTGATAACATCATATTGTGCTAGTTTCCAGATCTTTGGACCGATAATCGGTTAGTGTGAATAAATTTTATACAAACTGTACTCTGACAACACAGGGATTCGTGGTCACTATTTAATAGAATCTGGTGAAATTTATTGTGTTGTGTCATTATTATTGTTAATAAAACTATAAGGTCTCTAGCAATTGAGTCAAGAGTAGGCATAGGAAAGTGACAAATAGAGAATGAGTCTAGACAAGTCAAGGATACCAAAACGAGGTAATAGCTCTAGGAAATTCATACCTGAAAAGCAAAGAAAAACGATGACCGATCCTTTTGTGGATTGGATCAAGCGATCCCGGTCCGATAAAGGGGAGACGGTTTCAGGCAGAATGGTTGAAACGAGAAGTCAGAAGACCTCAGAAGAGCGAAGAGAACTGTTAGAAGTGGAGGTCAATACGGACCATACCATGAACGACAACCAGGGAGTAAATGGACTGGAAGGGAGAGGCAGAAGGCTGGCGAGTGAATCTACTCCGGTAGAACAAGGCCATGATTTTGCCACTTCCACCGGGACATTGGATCGAGAGGAGATGTCGGAACTGTCCGACATCTCAACTGAAGTAGCGACAACTAGAAGATCTCCGACAGACAACACTATGATGGCAAGCGGAACTGGGAAGCAAACAACGTCGTCATCGTTCTCAGAAAGAATGAAGAACACCTTAGGAAACTTCTTTCCATTCAGCATGGGAGGAGGAGCAGGAAACGATGGTGAGTCCCAGGAGGATGAGGAAGATGAAGAAGAGCAAGGGGACTTTGGATCTCAAGTCAGCCTCAATAGTTCGATCCAGGAGAGTGAGGCACACGTCGGAAGAGAGACTGGAACCATGGACAAATTTGGTGTAGTGACAACGATAAGCAAGGAGGCAAACACACCGGGCCAGTCAAAGGACTTCGCGATTAGGACAAGTTCGGAGCCACAACCTGAAGAGAGTAGAACCAGAGGGCTCGGCAATGCGTTAATGGATCCTGAAATAAATAATGAAAAGACGTTGAAGCAGAGAGTCAAGGCCCCGATCTCGACAAGCACGAAGTTACCTGGGTTAGAAATAAACCGCAACAGACAAGAAGTTGACAGGAGCGAAAAACGCTTGAAAGAAAGAACGGACGAACATATGACGAGGAACTTGTCGCGAATGACAAGAGAGGCGGAACAGAGGGAGTTACGCTTAAGAGCCGACATGGAGAAATTAAGAATTCAGCAAGAGCAGTCTCTTGGGTCT